TCTTGTCAAGAAATGATTATTATTATATACTTAAAAAATCAAAAAAATTTTATTGAAAAGTCCTGAAAATATCCTGGAATTTTAAATTAATTTTTGGCAAGACCCCTCTCAGTGAATAACATTGAAAATATTTGATGTTAAATTTTTTTTGAAATTTATTTCAATGTTTAAGTTTAATAATCAATTTACTTTTTCGCTATGTTTATGATTTGGTTTCTAATTTGTTAGTCATAATAAATTTATATTTTCAATACCTTGTTTTCTGATTTTTGCAGGTTATAAACTTGTTTACTAATTTATTTTCAAACTTTATAGGTTCTAGGCATAGTTTCCTACTGTGCCTAATGGATAAGATAGCCCTATTTTTGTTATTTTTGTTTTCTTTTTAAATAAACAGGTTTTCGAAAAGATTAACACAATTATTACAAATCAATTTTTTAGACCTTTTTAATTAAAATTTTAAGTAATCTTCTATCAGCAATGTTAACTACACAAAAGTGGTCTATTTCCAGATCATTTTATGACAACTAAAAATTTTTTAAATATTTCATCAACGTCTAAAAAAATAAGAGAGTTAAACAAGCATGTCAAAAGTTTTTAGTTCTCAAAATAGATAACTTTTTATAGTTAATGTTTAAATTTTTTAAACATTAATACTTATGCTAAATAAGAATTTATAAAAAAAATTGCCATGATCGAAGCCTGGGAATATCTAAAACTAGGTCTAAATTAAAATAACAGACTTTCTTTGTTAAAAGGTTTATATATAAAGAATTTATATATATATATATATATATATATATTATATATATATATATATACCCTTATAGTGTAGTCGAAAGAGCGTTTTAATGTAAAAAAAGTCTCTTACGACTACAATTTTAATTACCTCGTCTCTTAAGCTGTTTTTGATTGTCATCGAAATGTCAAAGCAATTAATTTATGCGGAAGTACATTAAATTTAATTGTTTTTTAAAAATTTTTTAAAAAACCGCAATTATAACGACTAGAAAGTTTTTTTTAATTAGTGGTGTTTTTGTTATTGATTTAATAAAAAACATTTTTAAAACATGCGTAAATGTTGCTACATCGACTATCTTATAGCCTACTCGCAACAGAGTGCTGCTACATCGACTGACAAATAGCCTGACTCGCAACGGAGTGCTGCTACATCGACTGACAAATAGCCTGACTCGCAAGGGAATGCTGCTACATCGACTGACAAATAGCCTGACTCGCAAGGGAGTGCTGCTACAACGACTGACAAATAGCCTGACTCGCAAGAGAGTGCTGCTACATCGACTGAGGGTTTGGTTTGGCCAGGCAGTCTATCAATTAAAAAAAAAAATTTAATTTTTAAATTTTTAAAACTTTTTCTGGTCTGGTTTATTAACGCGCTCTTTAAAACTACAGTTTATGGGAAATTTTTTTTGATGCCACGCAAGAGACATGCAAGAGTATATATATATATATATATATATATATATATATATATATATATATATATATATATATATATATATATATATATATATATATATATATATATATATATATATATATATATATGCATAATAAGAAAATCTTTGTTAAAAGGTTTTTATATATATGTATATGTATATAAATATGTGTGTATATATATGTATATGTATATATATCTAGATTTTTTTTACAATTGGGTACCTTGTAAACATTTTCACTTAGCTATTGGAGTGAGTAAACAATAATATATAAGCAAGCAATAAAAGTTATATTTTGTATATTTTTCAAATGGTTTGAAAAAGATACAAGAAACAACTTGTTCGGCTTCTAAAAATACTTGAAGCTTTACCCCTTGTGTATTACTGAGACCACATAGATTTTTTGATTTTACACTTCATATGTAGGAATTTTTCTAACTTTCAAGTGTATGTTGGATTTTAGCACCTCTATTTCAATAAAATATATATAGAGAAAGAGTTACATGCTTTGGCAAGTCAGTCTACACGAGTCTGCGCAAAATGTAAACTTTTTTTGTAAAAAATATAAATTGTTAATAATTTTTATTTAGTTATTCTTCAAAAATACATACAAATAACTAAGTGAAAAAAAAAAGGTGCTGTGTAATTTTGAAAACCTTTTATCTTAACTTTACAAGTATACAACTAATTTATTAAAAGTTTAATTACATAAGTCTTTTTTCAGCAATTTGTTGTTTTCCCATTTGTTATCATAGTGTTTGTCAAAATTTTCATATTCGATGACATTTTTATTCACAAGTAAGATAAACAAATTAACTTTTATAATAATATGTAGAAGTAGGGGAAAGCAGGTAGGATTCGTACACTTTTTACACTAAGTCGTATAAAAGCAAAAATAATTACTATTTTAAAATAATTTTAATGCTGCTGAGTAACCTAAATATCTGGCTTTTATAATATTGTAGTTTAGTCTTGAAAAAAGCTAACAAGACAGTACTATGATGTCTTTTGCAAAAAAATGGAGATCGTACGAATGCACCCCAAACGCGGGGTAGCTTCATTCAGTTTTTTGTTCGGTACTTTATTACTAAGTTAAAAATATATTTATTGAAAATAAACATTTATTAAGTTTAAAACTGAAACAAAATAAATATTAAACATAATAAAAATAAAATTATATATCCTATATGCAGAGAATACATAATTTCTCAAAAGCTTTTCTAACTTCTCCTAGATATCAGTTACGGCTGTCTGTTTAAATGCGAAATAAAGGCTGCGCGGGTTTTTTCATACGTATTTACAGTACGAATCCTCCCCACTTATTACTGTACGAATGTACCCCAACCATATCAACTAACATAAATTCAAAATAAAAATAACGGATAAGGTTATTAGAAAACTATTGATTAGATATTAATATAAGACACTTATACAAAAAGCATAATAAATTATTTCATTAATTGGATCTAAAATTATTACAAATAAATGTTTTCAAAGATTATTTGTAAAATTACTTTAGCAGTGCAAAAACACGTATCGACTTGTTCCAATGACGATTAGGATAGCACTACCACGGCACTAAGCTGTTCGCCTTTGTGCATTAGTGGTCTTCACACACACATAAATATAAATGTGTCAAAACAAAGAGTGGTCTAGATATGCCTACTGTACGAATGCTCCCGCTGTACGAATCCTACCTGCTCTCCCCTACAATCAATAGTTTTTATTTTAGCAACATTATTGTGTAAATCTATTTTTATGTTGTTGTTTCATTAAAATGATTGATTATGTTATAACATATTTATATTACCACGTATTTATTCATTAACTAAATCATTTAACAAATATAAAAATTAAGATATAAAAATTAGTTAGGATAAAATATAGATATTTTTAAAATTTTAGATAATTTTAAAAATTTTAGATAATTGTTAAAATTTTAAAATTTTTAGATAATTGTTAAAATTTTAGATAAAATAAAAATGTTAGGATAAAATAAAGATATTTTTTTTAAATTCTTGTTTTTCTGCTTTTTTACCACTAAAAAAAACTACAGAATATTATCATCAAAACATAATTTAATTTCCTTGAGTAAGCTTGTGCAAAATAATCTAGGTGGAGAGCCCCTTTAACCTGCCAAATCCATTTTTAGTATGGCTATTTGTAGCTTCTGCACTCATTTACTCCTTCCGAAGCCTGTAGATAGATATATATGTATAGAAATATGTTGTAACTACAAAAAGTAGTGTCTTTGGCTGTAGTAGCCTTCTTGGCCTTGGGAAGTTAAATAATTAAAAATATATATATAGATAAATACATAGGTGTGGCGGAATGTCACAAATTTGATTGTCCAAAGTTTGAAAAAAGAATAGTGTTGCAAATTGTCGCATGATTTATTGTCAAATAACAGAACAAGGAATGTCGCAAATGAAATTAATGAATAGTTTTGAAAATGGAAAAAGGAATAATATTGCTAAGGAGTTTAATGAATAATGTCGAAAACAAATAAAATGGATTAGTGTCGCAAATGAATTTTATGAAGTGTCAAAAAACAAAAAAACGGAATAGTGTAAATAGTTTGACATTTTTGTTTTAAGGTATTAAATAATTTTTGAGGATTTTTTTAGATCTTTTGTTACCCAATATTTATTCTAGATTTTTGTTTGTTTTATAAAAGTTACATTTTGGGAAGTTTTTATCATAAACTTCAAATAAATGTTCCTTAAATGATAAAATATTTGTATCATTTGTTTAAAACGTTTGATAAGTCCTTTTTAATATATTTAACACTATTCCGAAATTACTTTTGCAACATTCTTATCGCCCAATACATACATACCTATGTACATACATACATACATACATACATACATACATACATACATACATACATACATACATACATACATACATACATACATACATACATACATACATATAACATCTTAGTATACTTAGCCTTGCATAAAATGTCATTGATGGTTTTATACTGAAATAAGAGGCTGCAGGGCATTCAGTACATACACCATCTGAGAGATTGTGTTTAGCCAGGTATTATCTAAAATTGAATAACTTTTATTATGGAAAAAAAAACTTTTCATTATTCTTTACTTTTTCCAAATGAAATTGTTTGGATTTTAGTTAGCATTTTTCAACTTTAAGCGTGTAAAATATTTAAGGATAGTAGTTGCCCTGTTTATATTATTATATATTATGATGTTCTTTAGATGGTAGTTAATTATTATATTATAGTTAATTATTATATTATAGTTAATTATATTTTTTGACATGGCTCCAACCATTTTGAAATTTTGAAAAATATAAACATGTCATTTTTCCCAAAAAAAAAAATTCCTAAATTTGATATTACTTGTATTTTTTAATACTTCAGTTTCATTACTATAAAATGTCAATCTAATAACGTCTCTGTTTCTAAAATATTTTTAATGTCAATTTAAACCTTATATCTAACTTTTTATTTTTCCTTTTTGGTAATATTGATATTTATATTATATATATCATATTATACTTTGTATTTAGGTGACTCGAATTGGGCGAACAATAAATACCATGCGTAAAAAAACTCAAAATAAGGAGTTAGCCAAAAGAGCCAAAAAGCTTGTTGAAAAGTGGCGAGCTCAAGTTTTAAGTAATAACCATATACGTCGTGCACTTAATAATGATTCTCCAACAAGTATAGTAACAAACGGTTCAACTGCTGTAGTTATACCTAAAGATAAAATTCTCATAGAAAAGTCCATAGAGCAAACAGAAGATATAAAATTATCCAGAAAACGCAAAAAACTAAAGCCTGACTGTTCTCCTTCAAACAACTCCGTAAATAATTCTTTCTCGTGTAAACTTAATTATAATACATTAACTATCAATAAAGCTGATTCCAAGTTAAAATCAGTTTCTAATACAACTCTTTCCCAAGTTACAAATTCTAAGAAAATGGTAAGCATAAAACCAATTCAAACTGTTAAAGTATCTGATTCTAAAATAAAATCTAATTCTCATTCTAATGCAGCACTATCACAAGTAATGAATTCTACAAAAACGGTTAGTCCAAAACCAACTCAAGTTTCAAAAATAACTAATTGCTTATCCATTGATAAACAACTGCTTGTCAAAAAAAAAGTTGAATTGCAAAATGAAAATATATTTGTGCCATCACCTTTAGATGCAATTCATACCTCAAATACAATACTTAGTAAAACAGAAAGTAACATTAATTTTAACACAAATAGTGATGTGAAAAATACTTGTATAAATAAAGCTCAAAGTGTTACTCCTGAAAAAAAAATTAATAAAATCAAAGACTCTTCTCCTCGTCTTATTACAAACTATCATAAGGAAATTAATGATATTAATACAAGTAAAAGCAAAATAAGGACTAGTGAAGATGCAATGAATTTATTTCATCAAAACTTTCTCAATGAAGATATCGAACTACTTAACAACAACATAGAAATAGATAAAAATAATTTTGAAAAACATAAAGATTTAATACTATTCGAATCTCACTCTATGACTATTGAACCTGAGGATTTAGCAGTTTGTCGAAAAGAACATCCAAATAATATAGTGAACCCTGAGAGTTTAGCTGATGGTATTAATGGTGTATATGATAAAGACGGGGTTTGGAAAAGTTGGACAGAGCATTTGTATCTAAGAAATAATACGTTATGCATATTGCCATATGTTGTTTTAGAATGATTTTTATGTTATAATTGTGTTTTTTTAAATTATATTTATTTACCAAAAAGCTTTTAAAAAAAGAGAGAAATAGTTAAAAATTTATTTTTTATGACGTTTTTGACAGTTGTTATAAATGTCTTTGTTTTATATTGATAAATAGACGCAACATTTTCTTATAGTTTGCAAATATTTTTGCTATGCTAATTTTGTAAATTTTTTTTGTTTATTCAGCTTGAAATGAAGGCGCAAATATTTAACTATTTTTAACAATTTTCAAATTGCAAATTAATCTTTTGAAATTAATGTTATTAAAATCGTTTTTTATTTTAATCAAGTTTGATTTTTAACGGATGTTTTTAACTAATGTTTTTTGTTAACTGATGTTTTAAAAACTTCACCAAAAACTTAACGACATCAATTTTAAAAGGAAATCTTTCTAGAAACGAGGAGTCCTTTTGAACATTTTAAATTATCTCAACCTACAGTAACTTTTCACACACTAAGAAACAAAGAATTTTGAAAAAGTATATAATTTAATGTTTCAACCATATTAAAAGTCAACTAGATTACAGTCGAAACCTTTAAAGCTTTATTTCAAGTTTTAAAAGTATGTTGGAATTTACTAAATTTATTCACATTCCTTAAATATTATCCTGATAAACTTTAATATAAACTGGTGTAAAAAATGCTCGAGCACGAAACTTAAGTGATCCAATGTTATTTAATAGGTAGTGCGGTATAGGGTGGTAGTAAGTCTTCGCAAATGGCGTGTTTTTTTTTTCTTTCAACAATATGCCTAATAATTATATAAACCATAATACTTGTAAACGAAACAACTTTTCTGTAACAATCATTAATACAATGTAGTCTACGCCATGATTACTTTTTAATCTGATAGTGTATAATCTTTAGAGACAAGAGCGATAAATCGAAGCGTTTACTACTGTGGGTTTTTTATTCATTATTTAATTACGAACTTTTTATTTTCAGATATTTAAAGAACTTTTATAAATATATTTAATTTTAAGTAGTGTAAAAATATACCAAAGAGATTTATAAAATAAATATTTGCAATTCAATTTTATTACAGAAATAAAGTTAGTTACTGCGCTTAATTTTTTGGAATCTGTTTTATCTTTTAAGGTTAGAATATTTGTTTAGAAAGTTCCAAGTAAATATTTAAAAAATTATTCACTCCAATGTAGAATTTCTTTTATTCTAATGCCGAAGGAGTTCGGTTTGGATAGCATATTGACGGATTAGTTTCAGCGTTTTCTTAATAAGATTATTTAAAGTACTCACGAAAAAAGTAAAATAAATAATTTAAAGAAAAGAAGTAATAACTTAATCAATAACAAAGTAAATAGATATAGCTTGAGAACGGATGGATTTGATGTTTTGTTTTTTTAATTGTAACAGTATAAATTTTTAGTTATTCAATTTAACAAAAAACTAATGTGACTCCAGGCGTTATTGACAACTTGGTGTTTTTATGAAAACAAGGAATCGGTTTAACATTTTTAGCTTTTGTTTTTGATTAAAGATTAATTAATAACCAAGAAACAGAATTTATAAATAAATGCTACGGACAGGAACTTCAAGAAGATGGTAATTATCTTATCGCGTAACGATCTTATCAATATATATATATATACATATATATGTATGTATATATATATATATATATATATATATATATATATATATATATATATATATATATATATATATATATATATATATACATATATATATATATGTATATATATATATACATATATATATATATGTATATATATATATATATACATATATATATATGTATATATATATATATACACACACGCAAATTAATTGTTATAGCTAACATAACAGTCACCACAGCACCAACAGTAAACTCAGGTAGCTGCCCTCCGAGACAGAATGACAAAACAACTATACAGAATCACCGCAGGAATTCTAGCCGCTGAATGTCAAATAGAAACCCAGGAAACTAAATTAGCTAACTTGAATCTAAACAACGCGAAATACGATCAAAAAACATCGTTAACTAAGTTACCTAAATTCGACTTAAGTCAACTTGAACAATCAAAACATGGTCCAACTGAAATCAATAAAGTTTTCGATCTCATCAGAGCTGACAAAGTACCTACTTACTTCCGATTTACTTCTCGTAATTCTGCTGGTAGTCCTAACAAATAGGATAGCCATCACATTTCCAAACAAAAGTGTCCGCAACCAAATAATGAAACTGTTTAATCTGTTCTTCCGAGCTCCAGCAAACCGAGCTAACTACACTAAACTCTTTATTAATCGCGACTTGACGACATTCAAAAAGAGCTTAGCTTGGCAACTATGCATCGAATGCACAAAACAAAACGCATCTCTACCTACCGTGTCAACAACAGTGTTTGTAATACAAAGTCACTCTTTCAAACATCTCTAACCAACCACATCAAAAACTAATCAAAAATTCAATTCCCAACCATCCCTTTTACCAAACATAGTCCTGTACTTAACACAATAGCTGAAAAGTTACCAACGAACTCAACATCAAATAGCCACTTAAGTAAAATTTGTCCGACTCGCCAAAACTAAAACAACCAATACAACGAACAGAAAAGTCGGAACAACTTATCTACTGGGCAAATAATCTTTGCTTACTTAATGGCCAAAAAATTGACGATCTAAGAGCTAAAATTACTTTAACAGAAATTAACTTCAACCACACACAATATTGATCATCAAAACTTGGTTCATCGACTCATCCGACACAAAAACATAGAGGAGAAAGAGTATCCATCTACTCAAAAGAAAACCTCAAGCATTCTTACACCAATATTGATCAATAGAAATACATTCGAGCAAGTTTGATTCATATTAAATTTTTATGAAAAACCGTTTCTTTTGGACTGTATTTATTGTATGACTGAGAGCCGGCTAACTAACTGCCTACAACATGTAACTCATTGGTATTAACATATCTGAATGGATAACAATATCCAGCGGTGTAACTCAAGGATCTGTTTTCGGACCACTCCTATTTCTCATCTGCATAAATGATCTACCAGACAAATTACTACACCATTTCAAAATGTGTGCAGACGACTGTAAAATAATTTGGGTTCAAGTCAAACCAAGACAGCATAAAACTCCAAGACGACATCAACAAAGCAGTGAAGTGGTTACACTCATGCCACATGCCTTTTAATGTATATAAGTATAAAGTCATGCTGGTCGCAACAACAATAAAAAATCTACTGCAATCTACACAATGAAAAATACTGTCGGACAACCGCACCAGCTATCGTGCACAAAGTCTGAAAGTGATCTAGGCGTTTTAAAAACTAATGATGCATCAGATGGCTTGGCATGCTTAAGAGTGTCTTTCAAGGCTGTAGTCTTATTCTATGGCGCACATTATACATTTCATAGTTCGCCCACACTTGGAATTCACTGTATTTCAAAAAATGTCAAAAATTGCGTGACGTGATTTATGGACGACCGCTTATTGTAATATATGCCATTTTTAATGTTCTTTTTTTTACAGTTTTTTTAAAAAGTCTGTCGGAAAAGAAGTAAATGGTTCAAAGTCTAGGCAATATTTCTTTCATCTATTTTTAGTTCATCAATTGATAAATATTTCTTTGTGTATCATAAAAGTTCTTTTTCTCTGTTCTCCATTTTCCGACTTTTTAAAATGTACAAACAGGTTGGTTATGAAGACAGAAAAACAGGTTAGTCAAAAGTTTACATAAATACACATACATATCTACACATAAGTAGGGTAAATAGTACAGTTATTGGACAGGAACAGTTATTGGACACTACAGGTTTTAAAAAACTTGCATAATATAGTCACAGATGCCTCCGTATATAATTTGATCATTCGTATAATACCTTCTTTACCGGTTAACTTTAAAATACTTATGTCAAAAACGTGTTTTGTTGTGTTGTTCTGTATGTGCATTATAATAGCAAGTTTTCTTAAATTAGTTAAGAGTTGAACCTTTTAAAACGTAAGTATAATAATAGTAATTCATTTGGAAATATGTACAAAATGTAGTTATAAAAAGTGAATGAATTTCAAACAATCATAATCCATGGTTCTAATCGTTCATGTTTCTAATAACTATATTTTTCAGCGTGTTTTTCGCTTAAAATTGCTTTTGTTAAACTTTGAGATTATTGATAAAATAAACACAATTGTTAAAATAATAAAGAAATATCATTAAATATGTCACTGGATTTCGAGGCGTGTTTAATTTATTTTGTATGGAAGACCCACATGCAGTTGAATAACACCTTAACTGTCCAATAACCGTACTGTTTACTCTACATGTACACAAAAACACATATACATACATATACACGTAAACACGATTTTTTCAACTTTTGTTAGACAATGCGATAAAATCAAAGGGATTATTGTTAAAGGAAATGAAACTAAAATAGAGCAATTCGCTGAATTGACAATGAAAAAAAATGACACAAATTTTTATCTAACTGGAAAAAACTCGATTAGAGAAGTAGGTGAAGCTTTGAAAATAAATAAAAAAGCCACCGGAGCTAAAATAAACATAACCAAATGCCAAGGTATATGGCTAGGAAAAAACATATTTGAGGATAAACAGAAATTCCTAAATTTTAATTGGGACGAAAACTCTTTCAAAAGTTTAGGAGTCGTTTTCTCAAATAACAGCAAATTTTCGTATAAAACCCACTGGAAAGAGCGTTTTGATAATATGGAAAGCTCTCTCCAAAAGTGGCGAAAATGGAAACTATCCTTAAAAGGAAAAAAAAACAATAATAAACTCTTTGATTATCCCTCAAATATTACACTTAGCCTTTTTTTAGTACCCCTACCCAATAAAAATTATTTAAACAAAATGGAGGAAAAGCTAAAAAAATTTTTTGTGGTAGTAGAGTGTGCCGACTCAATAAAACAAAAAACGCAACAAAAAATAATAAACGGTGGAGCAGGTGTAAACAATCAAACAAGTAAACTTAAAGTTATCCAGTTGCAATGGAAAGCAAAATACACAGCGAAAATATAAGCGGGCCATGGAAGGACACAATGATAAACATTCTAAACTCCTATAGAGAGGCCAACCAAAATATTCACGTTTTCAAAACTAACCCTACCCAAATAAATCATCTCCCACCCTTCTATGCTCAGCTAATAACTAATTGGCATGAATTAAAAGAAAAAACATAATTTACCAGTAATAGAAATTGAAGAAATTTTAAACGAACCTATTTTTTACAATAAAACGATTGAAAAGTCACCAAAAAAATCTTTGATTCCAAATAAGAGTCACATAAAAAATGATATTGTGCTTTTAGCCGATATCGCAAAAACCTTTCAACCAGGTTTTTTGCATTATAACAGCATAAATATGAGCGAAAAGAACTTAGACAAAGTTATCAAAGCCCTACCTCGGGAATGGGGGCAAAAAATTTTAACGCAATCCCAAAAGTATGATTACAAAAAAGCCCCACAATATATAACTAAAAGAAAAGCAAAATATGAATTGAAAAACCTAACTGTTTTAACATTATACAAATTATTAAACAAATCTATCAAAAAAATTGAGTATAAATATAATAATTGGTCCTTGTTTGATAGCATGGACAATTTAAATGATAATGATTGGAAACATTTCTTCATTAACCTTTCTAAAACAAACATTAGTAATAAAGCGAGCGAAATTGGCTACAAAGCAGCGCATTTTATATTACCAACAAACAAAAAGATGTTTGATATAAAAGTACGAAAAGATCAGCTATGCCCACAATGCAAAACAAAAATTGAAACGACTGCTCACATGATCTATGAATGTGAGAAAGAACAACCTTTTTTATGTTTTAGACATTTTAGATCAACTCTACCCTATAGAATACCCTCATACTAACAATTTTAAGTTTTTATTATTCGGTTACGAAAAAAAGGCAAAGCAAAGAGAGTTTGGCAATATTTTATTGGGTATTTTATTAACGGAAGTTTTTTATAACAGAATGAAGAGCCATTTTAAAAATAAGGTTTTTACAAACAAATATATATATATAAATATATATATATATATATATATATATATATATATATATATATATATATATATATATATATATATATATATATATATATATATATATATATATATATAAATATAAATATATATAGGGGAGAACCTTAATGAATGGGACAGTTTTCGTAAAATGCATTTTTTGAGGTTGATAAATTTGTTTAAAAATCACTTTGAAAATAGTTTGATAACTGTTAACTCTCGTACTATGATAAACAAAAACAAAAAAATTGATTCCTCATATGGGTATTGGTAAAAAGAGAGTTTAATAAGACCATGGCATTTGTCCCATTCATTAAGAACTACTCATTGAATGGGACAAATAAAATTATTGAATGGGAAAAATCTAAAAAATTAATAAAAGAAGAGAGGTCCTAAGTAACTTTCAAGCCAGTCAAGCAGTAAGGGTAGTTTCTACCATTAGGGAACCCGAAAAAGCTATAAATATGGCCGAATGTCTGCATATATTGACAAACCTAAAATAGTTTTATTAAAAATATATGTATATTAAAATTAAATTAAAAACACGAATAATTGTTTAACATCAAATTAAAACGTATTTAAAAATAAAATTATGTGTGACCATAACTAAGTTGCCGAAATATATTTTTCTACTTTTTTCATATCAGGCTGTTTGGACAAGTCCCATTCAATAATCAATACTTTGTCCCATTCAATAGGCTTCCCACTATATCCACAAATGACAGGACAGGTTAAAAACAGTAATACCTAAACAAAAATACTTTACAAATTTAAAAAGTAGAGACATTTGGGTGTTGAAAATTGGAGTTTCATTTTCCTTAACTTTAGCTGCAAAATCAGACACAGAAAATTGTTTTTAAAAATTACTTATTGTTCTTCAAAACACAATAACATCCAATGCCATTACGTTTAGACCATAATAGAAATAAAGATTTGGTCTGTTGAATGGTTGTGTCAAACACTTATTACCACAGGAGTTTGGATAGCCAACCGTAGATGCTTCTATGCAAATTTGATTTTGTCCCATTCAATAATTGTCCCATTCATTAAGGTTCTCCCCTATATATATATATATATATATATATATATATATATATATATATATATATATATATATATATATATATATATATATATATATATATATATATATATATATATATATATATATATATATATATATATATATATATATATATATATATATATATATATATAAATGCAATTATTCATATGTACGTATATTGTTTACGTGTATATGTATTGTGATTTATTGTCATCCGGCTAATTACCATACTGACATCTCGTAAAAAAAAATTACAAAAATTTTAATGTATACATATACTACTGACATCATAGTTGTACAAGATACAACTAACCAAACCAATATCAAGAAATGGGCCGACGGTACTACCTTGATGTATGGTGACTCACTCTTAATGGGGGTCAAAGAAAGAAAAATACACAAGTTTGGAAAGTCTGAGCTTTTAGTGGTGCTACCATAGATGATATATCCACTTAGTACCTTTATTGAAGAAAGAGCCTTAAAAAGTAGTTCTCCATATTGGGACAAATAACTGTATTGGTGATTCATCCGAAATAGCTATGAATAAATTAAACGATCTTATTGACTTTATATCAAAATCTAACTCATTTTCAAAACCGATTTGTCAACTTGAAAGTCAGCTTTGCTTTCCTAAATATAAACTCAATCCGTAATAAGTTTATGGATATTACGACGTTCTTAAATAAATCCGTTGATATACTTGTTATTGGAAAACTAAATTAGACGACTCATTCCCAATAAACCAATTTTTATATAGTGGCTATAAAACTCCCTATCGCCTAGATATATCACAAAAAAGTGAAGGCATACTCGTTTATTTATAAAAAAAATTTTTATCAAGAAAATTAAATAAAATAACACTGCCTGATGACATTTAAATTATAGTGTTTGAAATTAAATTAAAAATGCATAAATGGTTAGTTTTTGCAGTTTATAAACCTCCAAATCAGAGGAATGACTATTTCTTTTTTCACCTTAAAGAGGCTCTAGATCTTTATTTACAGACTTATACCGACTTTATAATTATTGGGGATTTCAATTTACAATCTTGCGAAAATTGCATGAAAAAATTTCTCCAGATTCATCAATGTTTTAATCTTATAAAAACACCAACTTGCTATAAATCAGTTGTTAATCCATTATGTATTGACCTGATTATTACCAACAGAAAGTTGTGTTTCCAACATACAAAAAATATTTGTACTGGAATCAGTGATTATCACGAGCTTGTTTTTACAATGCTCAGGTCTACTTTCTATAAACTTCCACCTAAAAAACTTATATAGATCTTTTAAAAAATTTTCAATGGAAAATTTCTCAGAAAAATTTAATAAAAGCCTTAAAGGTTATTATGATTTATATAATTTTAATAAAATATTTAGTAATATTTTAAATGTACATGCCCCTATTAAGACTAAAATTCTCAGAGGTAATGACAAATCTTTTATGACCAAAGATTTATA